CCGCCCTCGTGCCGCCCGGGAGCCGCTCACCTTGCTGATGTGAAACTCCATCTTGCGGACGTGCCTTTCCACGGAGCGCGTTTGCTTCTCCCGGGAAAAGGGCAGGTGCTTTGAACGTGGCCTGGGTCCCGCCAGCCACCACCCTAATGTAGAGCGCAGGCCCAGAGCCCAGCCAGCCCCCTGTCCGAGGCTCAGTTTACCCCCTCCTAAATGGGAGGAAGCCCAGGCATTCCGCCCACGGGACAGCCGCGGCGCGGCAGACGTCTTCCCATCCAGCCGGGCCCAGCCCTCCGTGCCGAGTTCACGGACTCACCTTGTCCAGGTCGTAATAGAAAGCCTGTGGGAGGAAGCGGAGAGAAGGTGGCAGAGCCCGGGAGGCTCTGTCCCGGGCATCCGAACTCAGAGTCAAGGGCAAAAGCCCTGCTTCTTCCCAAGTGTGCCAATGTCCAGGCCACGGCCAATGCTGGGGGAGGCCGTTCCTTGCCTAGCTCAGGCTCTCCCTGCCGTGGGTCCCAGGCAAGTCACTCTGCCTCTCTGGGGCTCCGTTCCCTTGGGTGTAAAGCTGGGCAGGGGTGGTGCCCACCCCCCAGGGCTGCTCGGAGGAGTAAAGGGTGCGGCAGGCACGCCACAGACGGGATCTGGTGACTTGATGGTTCCAGGGTGGCTACAGCCGCGATCAAACAAACTTGAGGGGAGGGGCGGGGCAGACGCCCCCCCAGGAGTTCAAGCCTCAGGAAATGTGAACTCCCAACTCCATCCAAGCCACCCGGGGCCCACCCAGGACTGGCCCACTCACGCCAGGGGCCAGGCTGCGGCCAACACAGAAGCATATGGTCAGGGTGGGCAAGCCTTTCTGTCAGTCTCTCAAGGGCTAGGGAGGAAATATTTCAGGCTTGGCGGGTCGGGACGTCTAAAACACCCGCGCCTCTGTACACTGGCCTGCCTTAGAGTTACTTCTAGAATAAGGGGAGCCGTGAAGCGGCCCATGACAGACAGCTGCTGTACCCGCCTGTGACGTTCAACCTGCCAGGGCCAGAATTCGGAGTGGCTACGGAACTCTCACTGCAGTGCCAAGGCCTTGGACCATACGGAGGCCAATAAACGTGGTCCAACAACAGGCCGGCGTGGTGGCTCATGCCTGTGATTCCAGCACTCTGGGAGGCCGAGGCAGGAGGACTGCTTGAGCCCAGGAGTTGGAGACCAGGCTGGGCAACAGAGCGAGACTTCGTCTCTACCGAAAAATAATTAGCTGGGCATGGTGAGGGGCGCCTGTAGCCTCGGCTACTCGGGAGGCTGAGGCGGGAGGATGGCCTGAGCCCAGCAGGTCGAGGCTGGAATGACCTGTGGTCATGCCGCTGCACTCCAGCCTGGGCGACAGCGTGAGACCCCGACTCATAAAGAAAACATTGCGCAACAGGCTGCTGTTGGCATGGAGGTGAGAGTCTCTGACTCCAGAGCCTGGAGGGATTTCCGAGGCTGGAGACCCCCTGGGGAGGAGTCACAGCGGGAGACAGCGGTGGTCTCTATAAGACAATGGCTGGCCCAGAGCTACTGACAGGATGATGTGACCAGGGAGAGAAACCAGAAAGAAAGGAGGCTGACCTCCAGGGTTAAACGGGGTGGGGAGGAGATGGGGAGGGGGCGTCCAGGGGGAGGGTAGCCTGGGTGTCC